AGAACTTAATTCGTTCTGGAGGTCTGTTCTTAACCTGAAACTGTTCTTAACCTGAAGCACCACTTTAGCTAATGGGGCCTCCCGCTGCCGCTGCGCCGTCTCTGTGCAATTTCTGTTCTCATCCTAAAGCAAAGTTCTTAACCCGAGGTACTATTTCTGGGTTAGTGGAGTCTGTAACCTGAAGCATATGTAACCCGAGGTACCACTGTATTTCTATTGTTTCACTTGATGTAGGGGGGCGACTGCCCCTCCCTGCCTACGCTCATGTCCTTAACCACTTAATAAGTAGTATGCAACTGCAACTTGTGCTTTTTATTATATGTGCCAGGGGGTGGGGAGTGGAAGACGATGGTATTATTATCCTGACCACAGTGCAGAAGGGTTTAATCCACTCTATCCTGAGACACGGTGGAAATTCGTCCCTGCTCAGCCAATGGGAACTTTTTTCCTAAGCTGCAAAATGGAGTTGAACCCCCAGTTTCCATCCCAGTTGCAGCTGGAAAGGGATGCACTGCTGTAATCAAGGTAATAACCCCCTGGCGCCTTTATTTATTTGTTTATTTACATTTATATCCTGCCCTTTCTCCTAAATGAGCCGAGGGCAAGATACACATCTGCAATAAAAAAATATTTAAAACATTTCAAAACTTTAACAAATTCAGGAAAAAGCAGAAGGCATGTGCATTGAACATACAGTGGTACCTTGGGTTACATACGCTTCAGGTTACAGACTCTGCTAACCCAAAAATAGTGCTTCAGGTTAAGAACTTTGCTTCAGGATGAGAACAGAAATCGTGCTCCGGTGGTGTGGCAGCAGCAGGAGGCCCCATTAGCTAAAGTGGTTAAGAACAGTTTCAGGTTAAGAATGGACCTCCGGAAAAAATTAAGTACTTAACCCGAGGTACCACTGTACTGTATACTTTGGTTCTCAGAACAGAAACTGAAAAACTGAGCAAAGTCATGCAAAAAGTAAGTTGTGCACAGTGTGTCCTGAGTTCTAGAATTCCTTCTGAACATGGAACTGAGGGGAGTCCGTAAACACTGGATGCAAAATATCAGTATAAAGAAAGGATGGCGAACCTGCGGCCCTCTGTGTGTTGATGGACTACAAGTCCCATCAGTACTAGTCAGGAATGATGGAAACTGTAACCTAGCAACATCTGGAGGACCACAGATTCCTTGTTCCCAAAGTAAAGATTGGCACTCCGCATTCATCTAATAGCAGAAATTAGATGATTATTAACAGCCAAGTGTTGTGACTTATTTGCAACTGTCTAACCTATGTTTTCACTATGGTAATGATTATGGATCAACATTCCACAGCATTTTGCTTCTCCTGCCCTCTTGTTTGATGTGCAAACTGCTGGGTGAAAAAGCAAAACAACCACCACTTGGCAACATGCAAGCAGTATATTTGTGGTTAAATGACAGCCGGTCTTGAGCAAGGTACGATCAAGCATGTGAAAGGAGCAAAGTGCTGTAAACAAGGTATGTCCAAAAAAAGATGGTTGACCTGCACTTTCTAGGCCCGAGTCTGAGGCGTTCTCCCCTTAGCCTTGCTGCTTTCCCAGGTCAAGCACACGCTTTAGCTTTCAACAGGAGCAAACATCAATCCAGAGAAAACCCGAATTTTCTCCGATTGAGTGCTAAAGAATGCTCCCACAGCAGGACAATAAGAAGTGTGGCTAAGCACTTAGCATTCCTTGCCTGCTCATTTTTCCAGTTCAAACTGAGTGATCCTGAACCCTCTGGTTTCTGTTCTGTTGGGGCTGAAAACTCTGAACTGAATGGGAAGACAAATACAATTCCACTCACCCATCAACAATGTGTAAGTAAACAAAACGCTAAGATGAGGACAGAAATATTTATATTTCCAATGTTTGTGCTACTGGGCTGAAGGTACAGATGAGGCACATAAAGCAAAGTGAAATTGCATACTGTGGTGGCAAACGCATAGTTCCACATTTTCTGAGATAAGGGCCCCATCTGCACTAGACATTTAAAGCACTACCATACCACTTTAAATAGCCACGGCGAATAATTATGGGAACTGTGGTTTCTTAACGGTGCTGAGGGTTGTCAGGATTGAACCTGGGACCCTCTCATGCAAAGCAGATACTATGGTCTCTTCCTGTCCCCAATTACGCCCAAGGGAAATTCAGGGGTATTTTGTAATGCCAATTTGAAGGGGGGTGGAGAGGGGTGGCACTTGCAGGCGGAGAAGCCTTTGGGCTGAGTCCCCCTTATACCCAGACCCACTTAAAAATAAATCAATTAAACACTGGCCCCGAAGCAAAAGCGTATATGGCCAAGAAGCCTCAGGATTCAAGGAGCTGGATGGAGAGAGGCTGCCATAAGCGAGCTGGCCACCAATTTCACCAATGATGCCCATATTCTATGCGTAATTAAAAGTAGATCTGGCAGATCCACGCCATACATTCAAAGCACATGACTTACCCCAGAGGTTCCTGGTAACTGTCGTTTGCTAAGGATGCTGGGGATTTTAAATTCAGAAGATCCATAATTGATAAGACCTATTTGGGCGTGCAAGATTTTGGCCTCACGCAGGGCGCCATATTACGAAAGATTACCAAAGACCACCCCTGTTATAACTTTGAAGGGGGAAACTAAGCTGCCAAGATTCTCTGGGGAAAGTGTAAAAGGTAAAGGTAAAGGGACCCCATACCATTTGGTCCAGTCGTGACCAACTCTGGGGTTGCAGCGCTCATCTCGCTTTATTGGCCGAGGGAGCCGGAGTACAGCTTCCGGGTCATGTGGCCAGCATGACTAAGCTGCTTCTGGCGAATCAGAGCAGCACACGGAAACACCATTTACCTTCCTGCCGGAGCAGAACCTATTTATCTACTTGCACTTTGACGTGCTTTCAAACTGCTAGGTTGGCAGGAGCAGGGACTGAGCAACGGGAGCTCACCCTGTTGAGGGGATTCGAACCGCCGACCTTCTGATCGGCAAGTCCTAGGCTCTGTGGTTTAACGCACAGCGCCACCCGCGTCCCTGGGGAAAGTGAGTGGGCTGTAAATGGGATGGTGTGGATCTGGCCCTTGCAGATCTGAAGCCTACCAAGGAACGACAGACAATACACCACATTTTCTTGTCAATCAGTCCTGTGGGACTAAAAATACTGTAGTTACTTGGTTAAGTATGCCCCAAATTTCTCCAGATGCAAACAGTCAAAACACCAGCAGAAAACCCTACCCCCAGCCCACCCGCTTTCTCTCTTTCCAACAAACCCAGCCAAGCTGGAATCACAATCAATGCCATATCTAAAGAACAGGAGAAATACGGCCAATTCGTGCCATGAAGAAGATGCTTTAGATACACCAGTTGTCAACAGCCACCTGTGGCCCCACAGTTTTGGATGCCATGCATTTAGTTCGGGATCCACCCAACACACAAAACCGGTTGCGCCGTTTCAATTCCCAACCAAAATCAGACTGCTCCAGAGCAACTCCTGGCGGTTCTCTATGAAGTAAGTCCTGCCTTTGTTGTTTCTAAAACATGCAATTTAGGGAGAATGACACACTCGCCAATATGAGAGGAGAGATTACGCTGTGGTTTTGCGGAGGTGTTGATTACAGGTAGATAAATATCAAAAATGAAACCCGTATTATTTCTCAGCACTCCCCAGCAGATTTCTCCCCCGATTTCCAACTTTTCTCCCACAAATCTCCTCCTCCTCTCTCCCAATCTCAGCTGAATGTCAACAGGATTATTACCCCAGAGTAAGAGCTTTGAAGGCGAGCCGGCCAAGGTCCTCAGAAGGAAACTTCACAGAAGTGACTGGGGATCATTCTCTCAGGAAAAAAATTGTATCAGGGCACTAGCATCTTAACTTTCCCAGCTCAAGTTTTATTCCAAATGTCTTCTCCATCTGCTAGTTTGTGAACCTCAAAATTTCTGCTCTGTGCTGAGGTTTTGGGACAGGAAATAGTGGGAAACTTTAACAACAGCAGCAAAACAGCTTGCATCAATATTCTCTTTCCTCCCCTACATTCTTCTGATGAGACACAAATTTTCCACAATTATTTAAAAGGGAGAGAGACCGGCAGGCAGGCAGGCCTGCTGAGTGAAAAAAGACACACAGACATACAGAGAAGGGAAAGAAAATGTGCCCTGTGCAATTTATCCTTTCCCTTCCAGCAAATCCATCTGTACCAAAGTCCCACATCTGCCTCACACACACACTCACAAATGCTCATCCCAACACCAAGCAAAGACATTTGTCTCCATCCTGACCTTCCAGTCCAATTATATATGTTCCACGTGGGGGGTGATCCATGTAGAAAACAGATTCTTTACGACTCCAAAACCACACCACTTTGATGGCTTTTCCCTTTGGTGGTTTACAAACGTGGGAGAAGTTTGATCCTTCCAACACACACTTTCACTGCAGCTGATGCCTCCACACCATCACAATTTCCCAGAGCTTCTTTTAAAAAGTACAGAAAGCAAACAACAAAAAAGGTCTGCTTTAGGAATTTCTTCCAGCGGTGGGGAAACCTTCGGAATGCTGGACGCTGCTGAACTAAAAGTGCCATCGACGCCGGCCTGCGCGGCCAATAGTTAAGGCTGATGGGACTTGTAGTCCAATATCTGGAGGGCCAAAGGCTCCGCCCCTGCTGCGCCCTATCATCCACAGCAACCCCATAACAAGCCTTCCCTTCCCCCTCCTGCACACCCCACGGGGAGGGGAGGGGGGTCCGACGCATACCACCCTTCAGACTTTCACTTGCCCCCATCAGCACGCGAGCACGCACCCCAACACCGCATCATGGTCTCAGTAGTCCTTATCAGAGATACCCAAGTGCGCACACACGAACTGAAGACTCGGGAGTACTTGTGGGGAGGGGTATTTTGGAGCTGGGGACAGACCCACCCCGTATTACAGCGCTCTCGAAAGAGAATTGTTGGCTCCGAAAGGGCAGGACGCCGACGCCGCCTCCCACCCGTCCAAGGCAACATATACCGACTTCACTTACCAGCCGCGTTGAGTTAAAAAACAACACCGCAACACCTCGATCCTGGAGCGCTGGGCACGGGATGGGGAGCCCTCTCTCCTCCCCGACGATGGCGCTAACTGGAACCTGCAAAGGAGCCCGGAGAGGGGGAGCCGATGGATCGGGGCTTCGGCGTCGGCAGCATCTCCTCCCTGGGTAGCTATTTTGACCGGCCCGAGCCCCCCATCTCTCTCCCCTCAACCCCCTTCCGGCTTGTTTGTTTGGCGAAAGAGGACGCAGCCCAGGGCGCAAAGTTTCTCTGCAAGTTAGCCGCGGTTTCCAGAGCCCGAGCGGGGAAGGCAAGGCGATGCGGGCTTGGGATCTTTCTTCGGCGCCTGCCTGCGCCCTCCTCCTCCTCCTCCTCCTCCTCCTGCCGACACCAGCCGAAGCGGCTGCTCCCGGAGTGCGTGCGCGCTTGTTGTGTCGGTGTGCCTGCGCGCGCGTCCCTAACGCTGCCTCTCCAGGGCTGTAACCATTGTAGCCAGCCGCGAAGCAGCCTCCCCCGCGCGCCCGCCCGCCTCTCAGCCGCTCACGCCCCTCGGGGAAGCTGCTGACACAAGCTCGATGGGATCCCGTCTCCCGCTCGCTCTCTCCCTCCTGTCCCGCCCCGTTCTGGGGCCCTGGCAGGTCTAGCCGCTCTCTGGTTACTAAGCCAACCTCCAGGCCTGCTTGCTGTTGTTGCTGCTGCCGACGCCGACGCCAAGAGCAACGTGGTTTCTTCCTTTAACTTTTTCAAAACGCTCCAGGAAAGCCGCCCATCTTTCCAAGATGATAAAGCTAGGTTTTTTTTAATTTATTTTCCTATACTTCGCACTCGCTCCTGCACATTATTTTATCTTCCATTCTTTGCAATGGCTTGTGCACAAAATAAGATTTAACGTCGTTTAATATAATATCTAATATATTATATTTAATATAATACGATACTTTTTCCTGTGCTTTGCATTGGCTCCTGCATATAATAATAATAATAAGTATAATATTTTCTTTTCTATTCTTTGCATTGGCTCCTAAATACAATAATTATAATATGGTTTTTTCCTCTGCTTTGTCTTGGCTCCTACTACTTTATTACCACTACGAATACTGTAAAAATATGCAGGAGCCAATGCAAAGAACAACAAGGAATAACTTATTGTTCTTGTTGTTGTTTTTACTCGCTATCCTTCACATTGCTCCTATATGTTATTTATTATTATTGCTAAATATTATTGTTAAAAATACAGTCCGAACCAAAGAACCTCTGGATATTGGCTAAGAAGCCTCACTGAATTCAGTGGGATTTACTTTGGCAATAACCTTGTTGGTTGCACACAGTATATGAAGACACCAGCGATGTGGAGCAGCGACTGCCACTTTTTTCATAGCTGAGACTGATGTCATCCTCTGGTTGCCGCTTGCGACTATTCTTATTATTATTAATTACATTTCTACACCACCCTTCATCTGAGGATCACTGGGTGGTTTACAATATAAATCTGCATGCCAAAGAAATAACTTTTTCTCAAAGAAACTCACCGAAGTAAGCACAACCAAAGGGAGGTTACACTTATCCTCTCCATTCCTTTAAGATGGCTCTGCCCCCATCACTTCCAGACTGTCCTCACTTTGCAGGTTTTTTAAAAGGAGAGAGCATCTGTTGCATACAAGGTTCCTCAGAGACAGTTTGGGAACCCCAGGTGTAGATTGTTGGGGGGAGGGGAATTATTTAAAGGTAAAGGGACCCCTGACCATTAGGTCCAGTCGTGGCCGACTCTGGGGTTGCGGCGCTCATCTCACTTTATTGGCCGAGGGAGCCGGCGTACAGCTTCCGGGTCATGTGGCCAGCATGACTAAGCCGCTTCTGGAGAACCAGAGCAGTGCAATGAAATGCCATTTACCTTCCCGCCAGAGCGGTAGCTATTTATCTACTTGTACTTTGATGTGCTTTCGAACTGCTAGGTTGGCAGGAGCAGGGACTGAGCAACGGGAGCTCACCTCGTCGCGGGGGTTCGAACCACCGACCTTCTGATCGGCAAGCCCTAGGCTCTGTGGTTTAACCTACAGTGCCACCCGCGTCCATTGTAAGTACCGGCACATATTTTTCTACTAAAAAAAAAAAGCACTGGATGTATCTGTCTTGAATGCTTTAGCTGAGATTCCTGAATTGCAGGGGTGTGGACCAGATTTCCTTGGGGTTCCTTCTATGGATCTATACAGCCCGAGGATGCAGAACACCAAATATGAAGAGGCTTGGAGACAAAACACTTTCCTAGCCCAAAGGAGACTGAATATCAAAATGAACCAAAACATGTAATCTTTTAAAAAAAGAGAATGTGGAATTATATGAAGGCATCTTTCCACCAGGCCCACTGCTTTTAGAACTCTCTTTGTTCTGCCACCTCTACCGTTATCTCCCCCCCATTTCTTCCCCCTAAAATATAGTTAAAAATAACCTGTTAGAAACGCCTAAAAACGATTACCTATCCTCAAACTAATCATTTCAAGGTTGCCAGAGGCAGAGCTTTTCAACCATGCCTGGGTAAACATGAGAGTTTTTAACAGTGAGGGCCTAAACTGATGTTTTCCAGTGGCAATGAAGATAAACTTGGAAAGAGTGAACTCCTTGGATCAGAAAAACAGTAGTGGGAATGACTGGAGCTCTTCCAAAGAACTTGTCTCCAAATTAAGATAACAAAGACGCTACAGAGAGTCGTGTGGCTCCTTCGAGACTTAAGGAGACATTTCTTAAGGCATGGAGCAGGGTTAGGCAGAAGATTGTCTGAGATTGCTGGTAGATCTTCAAAATCCCACTATCTGCTTTCTGGAAACAATTGAATATATTTTTGTTCCAATGAGCTTTCCCAGCTGGGTCTTTCTGCCTTGTGTGTCTCCTCTTTCTGTTTTTAAACTCATCTGTTTATGTTTTTTTAAAAACGTTTTCTACTGTTTTTATTTCATTTTGTCCCATCACCTTGAGATGCTTGTGCAATTAAAAAGTAATAAGAAATATATTTTAAAAAATATCCTTATCTACTCAAAGAAGAACTCACGTGGTGTTATGTACTGAGTTGAATAGGATCCAAAATGCAACAGTCTGATTGGTCCTAGAACAATGCAGCAGTATGATTGGTTGGCAGGTACCACCCAATCATGCTCAAGATAGAAGTGAATCCACAACCTGATTGGCTTACAGTAGAATTCAGGAATTAGCCAATCATGTGCAGCCCATTGTGTAAATAATGTATATAAAGCAGATACTTTGAGGGGACATTTATTCATTCCTCCTCACCACTATGAGCTGAATAAAGAGCATGAAATCACTTTGCGACTCTGAGTATATTTCACGTGGTATCATTGCTTTTCTTTTCTTTTGTCGCACCTAATATAATTTTTGCCAAAGTGCTTTGCGTTGAATTGTTGTCAGTAATTCACAGTATGTTGTTTCTTTCAAATCAGGGGGATGTGCATGTAGGAGACTAGATGCAGCAAACATAATGCAGACTTTGTGTTTTTTGGGAGCGAAGCTGCAGCAGGAGAGTGAGTAAACAATTACAAGCTTCAGCGCTCCAGCTTGGAAAGTTGCTGTGTTTACTTGCAAAACACAGTCCCTATGGAAGACCCACAGGCTTATAGCTTTCAGGAAAACTTCCCTACCAGGCATTCTGAGGAAAAATGAACTGCCAGAATCCTGTCACAGCAAAGTTTCTAAGCATTTGTCTCAATCCAGTGAAGATTATCTGTGGGCGAAAACCAGCCTTTATTGTCCTGGTTTTCATCTTCACCATACATTTAAATCAGCATCATATCAGTTTAAACAATGCAGAATGGTGTGAAGGGTCATGATTAATAATAATAATAATAATAAAAATAATTGTTATTATTATTTATTATTATTTATACCCCGCCCATCTGGCTGAGTTTCCCCAACCACTCTGGGTGGCCCCCAATCAAGTATTAAAAACAATACAGCGTTAAATATTAAAAACTTCCCTGAACTTCAGATGTCTTTTAAAGATAGGATAGCTACTTATTTCCTTCACATCTGGTGGGAGGGTGTTCCACAGGGAGGGCGCCACTACCGAGAAGGCCCTCTGTCTGGTTCCCTGTAACTTGGCTTCTTGCAGTGAGGGAACAGCCAGAAGGCCCTCGGCGCTGGATCTCAGTGTCCGGGCTGAATGATGGGGGTGGAGACGCTCCTTCAGGTATACAGGACCGAGGCCGTTTAAGGCTTTAAAGGTCAGCACCAACACTTTGAATTGTGCTCGGAAATGTACTGGGAGCCAATGCAGATCTCTCAGAACTGGTATTATGTGGTCCCGGCGGCCACTCCCAGTCACGAGTCTAGCTGCCGCATTCTGGATTAATTGCAGTTTCCAGATCACCTTCAAAGGTAGCCCCACGTAGAGCCCCACATGAGCAGTTCAAAATGTTTTGCTGCCCAGAACAAAGGGCAGTATGGTACACCTCCCCTCCCAAATTCAACATACTGGTTTGGCAAAGCCTCTCCTCCTCTCAGAGGGGAGGGGTTGTGAGCGGGAGCAGCCTTCCGCGGGGGCAGAGAGCCGTATTCGGCTCCCTGCTCCTGATTGGTTCTGCTGCCGCGGCCAAGCCTCCCAACCGCCCAATAGGGCTGGCTGGTGGGCGGGGCTAAATGCGTTTAAACAGCCGCGGCAGCCCTCTTCTCTCAGTCTGTTCCTGCTTTGACCTTGCCTTCAGGAAGAGCGTGGACTTGTTGTCGCACATTAAGGAGGACTTTGATGAACTGGCTGTATTATTCCCAGAAACCACTGTGTTTTGGTCCTCCCTTCTAAAAAGAAGGGTGTGGCGTGGCAGTCATAGCCCTATAGCTATTGACAAATCCAGGAAACTTCTGAATCATGTGGTGGCCCACAAGCTGCTATATATGAATGGCCATGTGATTGCACACCCTGACATCCGATTTTGTTTCGTGATGATGGCGTCCATCTTTCTGATCAAGGAAATGACGTGTGGTTGGCAGACATCATCAGAAGTATTAGGAATTGGTTGCAGCTGTGAGGGTATTGGTGGCGAGCCTTTTGGCTCGGGTGGCGGTTAGGCATTGGAATGTGTGTGCTGTGTTGGAGGATTGGGTATGCGCCATCATCTACCCCTCCTCTTTTGGGTATTCCATTAAAGGAATCCGGCGGTCGTGGATCCTGTCTGATGCCCTGCTAGTGGCTAGGGCCATGGCACGACCCCCGGTGACGTCATGGGGTTGCTTCCAGTTGTATTTGCATCAACAAGCTCCTCTCATTGGTTGTTAACCCTGATATGACTCCTGGCTGTGTGGAGTGGAGTCTTGTATTGCTGTTTCATCCAGTGCCTAAGCCAATACTACTCACATGCTGTAACCAATAAAAGTTGTGGCCTAATTTTGCCCATTAACCATTAATCTGTGTGTCTTATTATAATCCTATGCGGGTGGAGGGTCCTCGACTCACAATCAAATCTTACTTCACTGGCTCCTTCCACTGCCGCTGGGAGTAGGAGGCTAGATTAGGGTGTGCTGGGCAGCAAACACCTTCAAGATCTTGCTGGCATTCCCTGTTCCCCAGCATCTGCCGCCTAAGGCACCTGCCTTGCTTTGCCTAATGGTAGGACCTGTCCTGTTATACAGTCGTACCTCGTTTTGCGGCCAGGATCCATTCCGGAGCCCCAGTCACAAGCTGAAAAGGACCCAAAAGAGGAGGGGTAGATGATGGCGCATACCCAATCCTCCAACACAGCAGACACATTCCAATGCCTAACCGCCACCCAAGCCAAAAGGCTGTGTATGCGTGATTTAGCGCTTCTGCGCATGTGCAAGCAGCAAACCCAGAAGTAACCCATTCCAGTAGTTCCAGGATTGCTGCGGACATTTGCCGGAATGGACGCTAGACAAGGCGGATGTTCGCGGAGGTATTACTGTATATGCAATGGTTCGGAGGCCTGTCAAGGTCACTGTTTTCCTGACGAACGGATGGCACTTGTTAGAAGTACAGTTTGTGACCCATCACACATTGCTGCAGGGCTCTAATAAGAAGAACACAAGTTGCATGGCTTGCAATGAAATAGGGAAACAAACCATCATCGAACAGTGAAGTAAGGGAGGTGGCGGAATTATGCGGCAAAAGGTATGGAAAGGAGGCAAAGGATTTCCCCAGCGGCTATTCAAAAATAAGAAGGCCAAGGCGACACAAAGCAGCTCTATATGCAATAGGGAAGAAGAGGCTCGCATGCCAACAATTCGCCAATTGTGCCCAAGAGTCAAAGGGGTGTAGACAAATGCAAAAGGGTGATATCTGAAATCAGCACTTTGGAAAGGAGGTGGTGACTTGGGTTTCCCATCCCTCTAATTCAAACGTTTTCGTATTCAAAATAAG